AACTACGGATTAAGGGGTTTTTGTTTTTCTGGGAAATTTCTGGTTTTTTTGTTAACTGTCGAGAGTGATTTGAATTGTGTGTTTTCCGGGAGTTAAGTGCGTCGAGTGATTTCGCCGGAGCTTATTTTTGAGTTTAAGAGGTGGGATTGCATTTTGGTAATAATCGGTGGATCTGATTTTTGGGGATGTGGTGGATGATGGGAGAAGCTGGTGGACATTACTGTTCTAAGAAGACTGATGATATTTGCGGTGGTGTTTGTAGTCAGGTTTGATCTCGGATCTGTTTTTTTGTTTCCCTTTTTTCGAATTTCTCAAGATTTGTGTCTTGTTCTGTTTCCGAGATCTTACTTCTCTTCGATTCAAACATCGATTTTTTCACTCGAATTTGATCTTTTAAGCTCTTCTTAAGTCGACCCATCAAATTTGATTTCACCCATGGACTTGCATTTGATCTCGCATCACTGTTACTCGATTCTCAATCCCCAAATTCTATAGCTTTCGTTTGTTTTGTGTTATTTGAGATATATTAATTTGGATCTGAGAGTTTAAGATTGATGTTTTTTTTTGGGGTCAATTCGGATCTTAATGGATTATATGATCTGCATCTGTTAGTGTTATGGTGTCTCGTGTTTACATATTTGCTTGATCTCTATCTTGCAGGAAACTGGTAGATTCTTCAGCTTTTCTAGACTTTGTTGTGCTCTTCGTGGTGTGGATATGAAGACATATATCTTCTTATTAGTCATTGTTCCGACATGTGTACTCGCTGGTTATGTCCATGGTCAGAAGATTTCTTACTTTCTCCGGCCATTATGGGAATCACCACCTAAACCTTTTCATGACATTCCTCATTATCATCACGAGAATGCTTCCATGGAGACTCTTTGTAAACTCCATGGCTGGGGTGTGAGAGAATACCCTAGACGAGTTTACGATGCCGTTTTGTTCAGTAACGAGCTCGACATTCTCGCTGTTCGTTGGAGAGAGCTGTATCCGTACATCACTCAGTTTGTCCTCCTCGAATCTAATTCCACCTTCACTGGTTTGCCAAAGCCTCTTGTGTTTGCTGCGCACCGAGATGAGTTCAAGTTTATCGAGGAGCGTTTGACTTATGGCGCTCTTGGTGGAAGATTTGTTAAAGGGCAGAATCCATTTTATGAAGAGGCGTATCAACGGGTTGCTCTAGATCAGCTTCTGAGAATCGCCGGGATTACTGATGATGACTTGTTGCTAATGTCTGACGTTGATGAGATTCCGAGTAGACATACTATAAACCTTTTGAGATGGTGCGATGAGATTCCACAGATCCTTCATCTGCGTCTCAAGAACTATCTTTACTCGTTCGAATTCCTTGTTGATAACAAGAGCTGGAGAGCTTCTGTCCATAGATATGAGACGGGTAAAACACGGTATGCTCATTATCGACAGTCTGATGAAATCTTGGCGGATGCTGGATGGCATTGTAGCTTTTGCTTTCGACGGATCAGTGAGTTTATATTCAAGATGAAAGCTTATAGCCATAATGATAGAGTGAGGTTTAGTCATTTCTTGAATCCTAAAAGAGTTCAAAGAGTTATATGCAAAGGAGTTGATCTTTTCGATATGCTCCCCGAAGAGTATACATTCAAAGAGATAATAGGGAAAATGGGTCCAATCCCGCATTCTTTTTCAGCAGTTCATCTTCCTTCGTATCTCCTAGAAAACGCGGATAAGTACAGATTCCTTTTGCCGGGAAATTGCATAAGAGAAAGCGAATGATCGATCGAATCTTCACCACATAGAGTCTTAACTTCTCGTTCGTCATAAGGCCTCTACGTTGAGAGGAAACAAAGGTTTGGCTTTGAATCCTTCTCCGGACTCTAATAACACTTACACGACTGATATCTGCGTTTTCATTTGAGGCGTAACTGGTGTTGGGGAATGCTGCACTTTGAGAGGGTAAACAAAAGGGTGAAGATTTTTTTTGTATATAGATAGATCTCTTTGTTTCTTGAGGATTCTGATTTCGTATCAGGCATGAAAAACCTTCATTCTCTTATGACTGTGCATCATCAAACATGAGTTTGTGTTCTTTTTCTGAGTTTCCCCTTTTGGGAAGTTTTGCATCGAGACACTCTTTACTTACCCTTTTGTACATCTCTCTCTTTCTCTCTTGATTTCAATGGGTTTGTTATGTATACAAAGGATTGGTGTTTTGTATGTGTTCACCATTAAGAGACTTGTTCTCATGAATGAATAAGCTTTCGATGCTTGGATCAGATTCAGATTTTTGTTAATGAGTATAAACTAGAATTTCCAATATTATTCATCAATTAGATAAGGAATACTACAATTATCCAGCTTCTGAAGCACATGTATATTACTCAGTACCCATATAGTCAGAACAACGGTCAAGAACAAAGCTGAAAAAAATCAAGAATGATCTTCTAGTAGTTCTGTCAAAAAAATGTGTACTGTGTATATAGTTTCTTAATAATCATATGAACATTATATTTTGAATTTGCTTAATCATCAAATGAATACTCAAAAACATTTCTGGATTTTTTTACTGAAGTCTTTTGTTTTTGTTTTTGGGGGTATGATTGCAGCCCTCACTTGTCTTTCTGTTTGTTTTAGTTTCTGCTAATGAATCGTTGAGTTTGAAGACGCGGCTGCGATTTCCTTGAGATACTTCTTCTCAGACCTCGCCATTCGGCTTTGGAACATTGTCCATTCCCGTTTACATCTGTCTCTCACCTTTGCAACAAAACCATATATCATTGGCAATTAGTTAACAAGAACCCACAAAATTCCCAGCTATAAACTGATGTTTAAACTCATGAACAGAAGCAGTTGATTCGAGAAAACCGGTTCAGAGATTTTAGAATTCTTACCCCTTGCCATGCTGCTATACCGTCATGTTCTTCTCCCTGG